AGATATTAAGATTCAAAGTTTAGTAATTAAATTATTTACTATATAATTTTTATATTAATTTTAATCAAATTTTATATGGTAAAATTTAAGCAATAATAATTAAAAAAGTTATTATTTATAAAATTTTTTTTATAAAAGATATATAATGAAAATTTTTATATTTAAATAAATTTCAATATTATTAACTTAATTGAATAAAACAGAATTAAAAAATTTATTTTGAAAAAATAATTTATTAATATTTATTTAATGTATCAAAATTTTCATAATAGATTATATCAAAAATTTACTATTAAAATATATAAATTAATATAGAAAATATAAAGAATTTAATATTAAAAATCAAGTTCTTCTCTTTACTCATAATATAGAAATTCTAGTTAATAAACAAAAAATAATCAAAAAGCTTATATCAAAATATATTAGAATCTTTAAGATTATTATAAAATATCTTCTATCATTTATTTATAACTATTAATAAATATGAAATTCTATTTGATATTTTATATTTTTCTTTTAAAGAAGTATAATTTGGATAATAAATATAATATATATTAATTATTATAAGTTATTATTACTTTAGATAATAAAGAAGAATATAAAATAAAAATATTCTTGACAAGAGAACTTATTATTAAAAATTCTAATATCTTGTAAAATAACTTGATTATTTTTTTTATAATATTATTTGAAATTTTTTGAGAATTTGAAAAATATTATGTGAAAGATAAATACCTTTGAAAAATTATATACTTGAATATAATAAAAATATTATATTTTTAAGTAGGAAGATATATAATAATTTTAATTAAATAATTTTTTTAGTCTAAGATCTTTATTTTATACTATCTGTACAATAAATTAGTTTTTGTATTACTTTTTTTAAAGATTAATTTTATATTGAATATGTAGATAATTACTATATATATTCTTATTATTATTAATATTTTTATTAGATTTTTGATTAATATTTTTTTATTATTTTTATTCATTCTTTTTATATTTTATTTATATTATTTATAATTTATTAGATTATAATTAGTTATTCTCTGAAAATATAAATTAAGTTAATTAATTCTGTTTAATTTATATATTTTAATTATAGATTCTTATTAATTTATTTATATTTATATTTATTTCTTTTCATTATAAATAAGATCTTTCTATTCTGTACTTTTATTTCAGATTTGAATATTATTCAAATAATAAAAATTATAAGTTTTATAAATTAAAACTATTTATATTATATTTTATTTTGTTTATAATTATTAATAAAATAATCTTATAAAATTATATTATATCTTTATATATTTAAGTAATATATAATTAGTAATAATAATAAAAATTTATTCTTTTAAATATAATTTTTATAGATAAATAATATATATAATAGTGATAAGTTTTTTTTATATATTAATAATTTTACTTATCTTTATATTATTATTATTTTATTATATTTTAAAAGAGTTAAAAAATAATTTTATTTGAAAATAATATCTTCTTTCAATTATTATTAAGATACTTTCTAGTTTATTTTACTTATTTTGTTTATAATTAATAATAAGTACCAAAATTATTTTTAGAAAATTTTTAAGTAATTAATAGTAATTAAATATCTTTTAACTATTATATAAGATAATTTTATATCTACATTAAATAACTTTATTATTAAAGTTTTTGTTATAATAAAAAAATTCTTATAAATATATTATTTTAATATTCTTGAATATTTATTATAATTTTTTTTAATTAATTATTATTTTCTATATATTATATTATTTTTAAATTTTTAAACTTTTTAAGATTATTATATATAATAAGAGAAATATATTTATTTTTCTATATATTTCTTTAATATTTTGTATACTTTCATTTTATAAATAAAATAAGATTTACTATTAAGTTTCTTGTTTAAAAGTTATTATTTTATGAGTTATTTTTTAAAAAAGAAAAAATAGTAATAAATATAAAAGATTGTTATTCTTTATTTTAAATATTAAAAATTAAACTTGAATTGGAATAATTAAATATATTATTATAATATTTAAATTTTTCCAGTTTTTTGTTCCATATTAAATATATTTTTTCTGAAAGTAATGTTCTAATTGCAAAGTTATTAAAGTTATTACAGATTTTTCTCTAATTACATTTATTTTTTATTAGCAAATAATTTTACAATAACTTTATAATTAGAAAAACTCAGAAAAATCTAAAAAGTATATATTAAACTAGAATTTATAAATTTTATTTTAATATAAAAATAAAAATTATTTCTTAATAGAACTATAAACTTTAATATAGAGAAAATTTCAATTTTTATTATAAATTTGATTTGATATATAACATTTGGCAGTCACTATATAAATATAATGAAAATAAAGAAAAAAGAGAAATATATCAAAGTAAAATTAAAAAAATAAAAGAATAAGAATTATATTAATAGAATAATCTATATTATTTATATTAGTTTAAGTTCAGATAATTTAACTATTATTTCTTAACCTGTATTCCGGACAAATTTTTCTGAATTTTAAATAATTTTTTATTATATTATTAAGTTTATTAAGTAAAATCTCCCTATTATAAATTAACAAAATCTCAATAATAAAATTCTCAGAAAATTTATTTAAAATAAAATGCAAGATAAAAAATAAATTTTTGTATTATTAAATTTTTGAATACGAAACTTTTTACTATTTGATGGAACTTCTAATTAATAAAAATTTGACACTATAATCCAATAAAATAATTTAAAATTGCACAAATTTTACTAAAATAATAAGTCTTTATTTATTAAAAATGGATTCATGGCTACACTTACCTTTAGTAATTTGTGATTTTGGCTTATTATTACATGATGCTGAATTTTACGAAGAATTTGAAAATTTCTGCAAATCTGAATTATATGAATTTTCTAAACTTTATAAAAAGCTTAAATTTATTTTTATCATCCATCTTAATAAAAACCCACCCCCAATATGTCACTATCTTTAAAGGATTCCAGACTTCGCCGAGCTTCAGATAAGATTGAACGCGAAAACTTGAAGTCGGGTCTTGAAAAATGCGAGCTCAACAAAAAATCAAAAAACTACCATATGGCAAGATATTCAGCAACTATAATTCGGAGAAGTCGCATCAAATTTTTAAATGATTTGAATACATTTTGTAATGTTGGCGGAGGGCGTCATTTTACATGCATTAACTATGTCTTAGAGTTTTTATCTACATAGTTGACCCATCTCAAATTACATGTGCAACACAGAAAATCATCGTCCCTGTATCTTATCGTTATATCAACAGAACAAAAGAACTAAAGATACCGACAATTATTATCAACATTTGCATTCCTGGTATAACACAAATATGATAAGTTATACACGTAGTGTTTCCATACAGTAAATAAGAGGTCATTATTTTTGAGTCATGGAAACCCTGGGTTTTGGAATTTATCGTTATTGCAAAAGTCCATTTAATTTAATCTCGATTACCGAGCATATCTGTCACATAAACTATTAAAGTATAAATTTACCTATTACATGTATGTAGCGACTTCCTTCATCAAATATCTCCACAATTTAAAATATCTAATTCTATCCTGCGACCTGAATATGAATATTTTACATTCAATACCTCATTTTTCGACTATTTTGAAAACTTCGAATTCTTCAGAGACGAAATCACCAGGATCCATTATTTCATGTTCGTAAGTATATTTTCGACAAGATCCAGTTTTACAATTCTCATAGATCACCAAATCACCTTTACCAAAGTTCGGTCCATAGCTTTCCAAGTCGAAAATAGCCGAAGTTGACATGCTGATAGAAACCCGGCTCAATTTCGGTTCTTCAGAAACTGGAAATCCACGAATGGATCTCTCGTCTGAATTCAACTTTTCCATCGTAGACGTCCCGTTTTCGTTATTATTATCATCAATAGAAAATATAAAACTTTTCTTTGTCTCAGCGTAGTCAGCTCTATTGCACCATCCGATTGGGTTGTATCCGCCAATAATTTTGCCAGTTCCTTGTATTTTCAATAGCACCACGTTCTGTCCTTGATTAGAACATTTATTTCGGAAAGCGCGCGGTGTGAATCCGTCACGAGTTCCACGATAAAGAAGCTTAAATTGGAAACGAGGTTTATGATAGGTAGGCGGTTTGCCAGAACCACCTTCGATCCAATGAGAAATCATGGTGACATGTTTTGAGCTAATTATCGTGGAATCGATTCGTGGAGATCTTGGCGGTAATACGACACATTGACGAGGAAGCTGTGGTTTGTAATGAGATCGAACAAGATCTTCATATAACTCGATTGGCAGTAATGGTTTAAATGGACGAACGTGATCGTAAAATTCCGACGGCGACATTTCAAAGAATCGTAGCAGCGGAATGCATTCATGCAATTTTTTCTCCAATGCTTCGAATTCTTCCGGTGTCCAATGACCAGCCGAGTTCTCAATAGTTGGAGTCTGTGCAATACCCCATCTAAGCACATGATTCCAAATATCCACTTCATCCATCTCCAAATCATTTCTCTTCAGTAATGCGAGAAGGATGTCTTCTTCGATCGTTGTGAACTCATCGGATGTGAAAAATGATTGTGGATCACTACAAATCGCATCAATACAATGGTCTTGAAAAGTTTTACAAGCTTGAAGACGAAATACGGTGTGCATGACTTGCACAAAATTTTCGTGCAGCCACGATGGTTTGTTATGAATAAGATGATGTTGAACGTGCGCCACCAATTCTTCAAGTATTAATTCATCCGCGGCCACCAATAGAGCTAAAATGTCAGTGGCGTCGTATTCCTCCAATGCTATATCACCACTATAGATATATCTATAAGGGGATAAAATATTCTTGATAAATATGTTTGGGTGCAATTTTTCTTTGATTTCTAGATAGTGAATTCATTCGAAAGAATTGAGACCATACTTTAGAATAATCTCAAATACCACAGGTGAAATATTTGGTTTCTTGAACACGATTATTCCATCCTCTTTGACCACCCAGTCACTACTTAGAGCCGTTCGAAAATACGGTGAACGAGCGCGTAATAAGTTAGTATGGGCTTTAAATTGTTTTGCGCTTGAGTCTTCACCAACATAAATAATGATATTGTAATCATCAGCATCAGCAAGTAGTTTCGAAAGGTCACGCGAGAGATTAGTCAGAAATGTGTGGTGCATCACAAATCTTCAAGGGGAGTTTTGTTAAAATTAAATTAATTTGATGTAAAAATAAACGCAATTTATATATCTCATTGAATATTTAAGTGGTAAAAATATATGTGTGCAACAAAACAGTATATCATCAACTAAAATAGGAGATTTGGGGGTGTACAGTATTAAAGACACTTATACATGACATGTACTGTACATAGTTTTTGTGATTCGTTGGATACATGGGCTGAATCAGTTACATCAGTTAAGGGTATCATTGATCTGTTGTGTTTAAGAGTTATAATTATCGTTATACTGTACATGTAGTCGAGTTTGTCATATTGTTGTGCGTCATCATCTTTTAACTTTACGTATAATCGATTACGATTTGATTAATCTCATTCAAATCTTAAAATATTTCATAGGAAATTTTTAGTATTTATTACTAGAGTTTTTTTTTCCTTTTTTTGTTCATTGACAAAGCGTATTTATCTCGAAGCTGTTAAGCTGTGAGAATAAATTTCTATATGCATTTATATTTTGATTCAAAAGAGCATGTCAATTGAACATTCTGTGCTTTTAATGACCATAAAAAAATTATTATTAATCCTCAAAAAAGAACTGCCCATTACAAAATCCGGGTTGTGATGAGCACAACACAAACTTAGCTGTAGATCTGAACAATGATAGATGGATTTACATGTGTCGGTAATGTCTGTAAACACACGTGAAGAGTGCCTTTTTACTGAATTGATAATGGTAATTGTAACGGCAACAATTGGTTTAAATCTTAATAGAACAGCCAAGTTTGCAATACGAGAATAAACCCCCCAAGATTTTAATTGAAGCATTCTCTATTGAAAAAAAGTAAATCATTTACTCTCTTTTTTTAATAACATTTAAAAGAAGATGGTACACACCAAAGCATCTTCTTTCTATTAAATTTATTATCTCATGTTTTGAGAGACATTTTTTATTTCTAAACCAGTTATCATTATTATGAACTGGTAACTGTGCATAAAGTATAATAAATCCTCTTTTTGTATATAAAAATAGTTTCTGTTAATTTTTATCAATATTAAAACTTTTATAATAACTCTTTCATGAAATAAATTTATTATAATTCAAATAAAGTTAAATCAAGCGATTCACTGTAGAATTCACGAAATTTCGATCACGAATTTACTAAAATTAAGGAATATGTCCCAACTTTTTTCTGAAATCTTCTTTAAGATTTGTTTCTTAAAACTATTAAAATATTTCGAATAATTTCTCCCAAGAGATTTATTTTGTCTCATTTTAAATTTCCTATAAATCAAGCTGCTAGGTGTTCTATACATATATTTGACAAATGAAGGTAGATTAGCTTGCTTTTCAGGAAACAGTATTGACAAATCATTATATATTATAATAATTAATTTCAAGGACTTTAATTTTTTTCAGTGTTAAAAAAAGAATTCAAATTTAAATCCAGGTTATAAAATCAAAAATGAGCAATTTAATAAATTTTTTAATTATAACCCATAAGGAATATCGACGATCTTTAGTCGTCCTCCTTGACGCCCTCCATTATTCACTACATTTTGATTGGATTATCTCCGCCTATTAGGTCTGCGTCGGGCTTCAGTAATTACATATGAATTTCCGTTTGTTACCTGACGAGCGGCCAGGGCTCGATTGTAACCTCCATTGTAGTGTATTCTGCAAAAGCACATCCCTATAATATAGAAGAAACGCTAAAGTTAAGAAATTTTTTAAATGAAAGAATAATGTTTATTCTTATACTTTTTGTGAACAACAACCAGTTTTTTGAGTTGTCCGAAATGAGTGAATGCCTCTTTTAGTTGATTATAAGACATAGATTCGGTCACATTTTTGATGTAGATTGTCACTTGAGGGTCTAAAACATTTATTAATAACAGATGATTAATCTAACATAAAATAAATGAAAAGGGTACAATATAGAGATATCTACCTCCTCTTAGAATTGGATTATGAGCTAACTCATTGTCTTCATTTCGAGCTTTGTATAAACTAACCTGATTGTCTTCACTTCCTGGTACCAAATAAAATCTTTATAAAGTGTTCCAGGCAAAATCTCAGTATAGGGCATAACTTTGTTATAAAAATCAACCGAATTGATGTGGAAGAATCGAATCAATGGTGAACAATTTTCGAGCGTAGATTTGAGTTTCTTGAATTCCAATGGAGTCGTCAGATCAATTTCGTCAGCATCTGCATCTTGAGAGATTCAAGTACCTTTTCCCAAATTTCGATTTCATTTAAATCTAGATCATCACGTCTGAGTAAACAAGTTAAAGCTGATTCATGCAACTTAGAAAAATCGGTTGACTGAAAAACAGCAGCCGGGTTTTGACAAGTGATATCCGTGCAAAATTTGTGAAGCTTAGTAAAAAGATTTATGCTCGAATGCAATTTGATTGATTAAGGCGAAACTCTCTGTCAAAAATTCAGAGTGGTATTCGAGAAGATAAATTTGGATATATTCAATCAAATCCTCGAGGATCAACTCATCAGCTGCAACTAATATATACAAAAGTGTTGAAACTCCATGATGTATCCACTGTAAATATACCTATTGAAATTTTAATCAGAAAATTTTCATTATTAATTTTATTTAATATATTCAATAGCTTGAAAATACTTTAACAATATTTCAAAAATTCGAGGTTCGATATTCGGTTTCTTAAAAATAATCATTTTATTCGGGTCTCGTTTTATCCAAACACAAGAAAGCGCAGTAGCAAAATATTGCGATTGGCCACCAAAATTGCCGAGTGAGCTGAAAAAGTGCGTTGAGAATTCTGGTTTTCACCAACAATGATTGAAATGTCATAATAGTTCGAATTTTCATAAAATTTATCGAATTTATTTGAGTGTAAAGTCAATAACAAATCGGGTGTCATTTTTATATGTCTCAATCGATCGATTATGGTTGATCAGCTGATAAGAATACATGTACTGGGGAACCAGATACATATCGATGCCAGAGGCCTTTTCGCCATCTGAGGAATAGTATTTAGTATCGTAGGTCGTTATCATGACTTCGTTCACCGGTTGTTCACTTGTTACAACTCGTAAACAACCATAAATCATAAATCTGATAGTATATGGTTTTCCATTCAGCACCTCTGACTCATATAAGAAGTACTCTAGAAATTTCTTGCTTCGATTTTTTTATATTTGTTGGAATGCTAAGTCCAAACAGCAATTCGAGGAAAGTTCAACATTATTTAATATATTTCTAGGATGAAAGTCATGATGCCCCTTAAATAATTTTTGATCCCAGGTCCAATTTTTCGTACATATACATGTATATGATATACTACTCCTTTATAATGTCTAATACAAAATGTATATCATCACCAAATGGTGTCTTTCATCAGTTACAATTTCGTACACAATCATTCCCTAACCATAATTAGTGTATGTCTTTTCATTTAGCGCCTCTGGACTCATATAAGGGAGTACGTCACAAATTTCTTTGTTGGATTTTTCTATATTTGTTGAAATGCTAAGTCCGAAATCAGTAATTTGAGTCATAGCATTTATTAATATATTTTCAGGATGAAAGTCACGATGTACAAACTTTGTGAATTTTTTTCAAATCATTTATAATCAAATATAAATCTTCTAATTTTTTATTCCAAGTCAATTTTTCCATAATTGGAATTTCATGTAATATGTTTACAGAGATCACCGGCTTCTGCGTGAGTCATCGAGGGGATTTTTAGTTATTCCGTAATATTTTATGAAACCATTTTCATTGCATTTAAGAGCAGCAGCCTGAATCTATTTTGAAAAATTTGATTGTATTAGAAACAAAAATGAACTTTCATTTAGAAAAATATTCTTTTTACCTAATGTATAAACTCTGAGTAATTTTCTTTGAATTGTGTTAACTTCCTTTCGTAAAATATTCAACGTTGGTAAATTTTTCAGAAGGGAATCCATTCGAATATATTACAACGTTATAAATAATTTTATTGATATCTTTATCTCCGCTAGACATATGAATCGTTTGTGATATTTGAAACGGTCATCGCACGCCTCATAATTACTTTGACATCTAGAACATTTACTACAATCATGAGCATTGTGAACTAAACACCCATCGCAGTATCTATTCTAGCATATTCATTACAATGATTTGAGTATTTGATTCCATCTTTGGGTTCCTTTTATATTGTGAGGTTCACCATAGAATGCATAAGTCATTACTATCAAGTAATCGTTTGTAATTGGATTTTTAGTCATTCCATAATCAAGTTGCCGTAATCATAGCATTTGAGCCCAGTTTAAATCTATTTTTGAAAAATATGATTGTATCAGAAAATTAGAGAATATTTATTTTTACCTCGCGTATAAACTCTGGCGTAATTTGCTTTGAATTGTGTAATGATTTCAAACACAACTTTCCATTCTCCTCTTCATATAAATTTATTCTCTTTACTGTATGATCCCACACTGCTAGTTCCAATTTATTTTCTTCATCATTCCACCTACGCTCATTTATTGATCCATCCAACCAGGTTGCTTTATAAATTGACCTAAAATCTACCTTTTGCAAGATATTCAACGTTGGTAAATCTTTCAAAAGGAATATAATGTAATTAATTTTGTTGCATTCTTCACTAGATTGTCGAGATTTTTATCGCCGCTATCAATTCATCGTTATGAACTCGTTTGTGATATTTGAAACAGTCAACGCAGAGTTTCTTTTTTTTGACAATCAGTACAATCATGAGTATTGTGAGCTAAACGCTCATCACAATATTGATTATATTGACAAAAGTTGACATTCATTACAATGATGAGTATTCGATTCCATTTTTGAGTTCCGTGGTAAAACAAACGAGAAAATCGTTGTCATTACACGGCATTGTGTGTACAGTCTAGCCAACGACTCAACTTCAAGTTGCATCCTTTATCGACTCAGGTGACTGACTCAAGTGATAATCAATCATATGAGAAGTATTGTCATTGGGCAGCTTTGGACAAAGTTTGGACAATTTTTTAAAGTAAAAAAATAGCAATATTCAAAAATTTTTATTATGATAACTGGTTTGAACAATTTAAATAAAAAAATGTTTAGAATTTAACACTGTATATAATCAGATAATTTTTATATTTTTTTTTAAAATATACAAGAGTTTGAACAGCATGGACTTGGAGAAGCCAAAAAATGGCTTGGACGTCAAAAATGTACAACACTGCATATAACTTTTTTTAATGGTATAATTTATGCCCTATGTAGTTATGCTATTTCTTTGTAATTAAGCATAAGAATCTTAAACAAATCTAGGACTACTTCAAGCATAATATTTGCAATTAGGTCTGTGATACTTATTATCATTTGTACGAATAGCATTATAATCGGCTAAA